GTATGTATATATATATATATATATATATATGCCAACACTGCAATTAAATGTTTTTTTTTGTGAGACAGGGTCTCACTATGTAGTTGAGACTGACCTGGAACTCGCTACGTAGCCCAGGCTGGTCTTGAACTCACAGCAATCCTCCTGCCTCAGCTTCCCGAATGCTAGGATTACAGCATGTGCCACCACACCAGGCTAAATGTTTTGTTTTGCTTGGTTTGGTTTGGTTTTGGTTTTGGTTTGCAATTAAATCTGAATACTGAGGTTTCAGTTTTGAACTTACACATCAACATCTTTTGTCTGAAAAACAACACGTGCCATAGATTCACCACCACTGCTTTAAAGAAACGATATAACACTTTTTGAAAGTCTGTGCCGTTCAGTTAGCACATTTATTAAGTATGTGCTGGTGCCAAGCCTTGGAGTCAGAGCTAGATATAGAGAAAAGGCAATCTCTGATCTCAGAATGCTCACTCTAAGACAAAGGTGAATTAGTGCAATGTGGCAAGTGCTAGATAAACACAAGCACAGGCCATTGTGAGTGTGAAGAAGGGAAACTGGGAGAGATGCAGGGAAACTTTCTAGAGGAGATAATGCCTGAGCTAAAGATGAACTCGGCAGAGGAAGAGACCTTTGTAAAATATAGTATTCTGTTACAGATTTACAGGGTAAATTTGTGTCCAAAGCAAATGAAGTACAGAGCCTGCATAGTAAACTTACGGATACCTTGATATCAAAACAACAGTTGGAGGAAAGATTAATGCAGTTAATGGAATCAGAGCAAACAAGGGAAGAGTCTGTACAAATGCAAGTTCAGGTATCTGTTTTTCCTTCTTTTAAAACATTAGAGAATCAGATAGGTGTACCTAAAAGACACCCGGAATATACCTGACCCTGATTCTGGAGTTTTAGTGAATCATTACAACTTAATCTTTGAGCACATTCATAGTATGTAGTGTTTGAAGATCTGCTTGACTACAGTCTGAGGCTCCTTGTAGTTTAGCAAGAGTAAAACCATTCTTTAACTTCCACCTTATAAAATAACTCAGACTGGAATGCTAATCTTTATTTCAAATAATACCTTTTGGAATCTAAGAATACCTTTTTTAAGATAAACAGCCTGTAAGTCGTGATATTTATACACATTGCTACATTTCTTCATAGCACATTTTTTTTCTCTTTTTGTTTACTCCTTATGAAAGGATATTTTGGAGCAGAATGAGGCCTTGAAAGCACAAATTCAACAGTTTCATTCCCAGATAGCTGCCCAGGTAATAGTGTTTTCTTCTTGCTTGTCACGAATAATAGCTCGCAAGCCATTTAGGCAGTCATCCGAGTGCCTGTTGTGCTGACACTGGGCTAGTCGGGAGACTAGTTAGTGAATTAACATGGTGATCCCGAGTGCTGAACACTGATATATATGCAGTACTGTAGGAAAATGCTAACGAGATTAAAATCAGACTAAGTGGAAAGGAAGAGAGCTAGAAAACTCTTTACCAGGAAGATATGCCCCACCCCCAGTCCTGTCATAGAATGGGAGAAATTAACCAAACAATGTCTATGATAATGGTTTATATATTAAGGGTATTTTTACAGCACTGGCTAATCATGGAAAGCCTCATATAGCCACAGGTAATAGCATTGTGTTAACCATGGCTCTCAGAATATATTCACCAAAGAATCAGTTTAAAATTTATACTTCATGTGTGTGGGATTTAGCTGAGTGGTGCCACCGCCTGCCTTGCGAGCACAAGGTCCTGAGTTCGATCCCTGGTACAAAAAAAAAAAAATATATATATATATATATATATATGTACACTTGACTGTAGTTAGTGGTAAGTGTTTGAAAGTTTTGAAAGTTTTTTAAATGCTGTTGTAAGATATATTATTTTTGGTAATATTGTCCTTGTCACACTTGATTGGTAACAAGGCCTTAAAATATAAACAATATAACATTAAGGAAAAAGTGAAAATTTCCAATACATTTCCATAATGTATATACCATAGATTTCAGTTTCAACTCAACTTTAAAATGCTAAATGTTGTTTTTATAGCACTAAGTATTAACTCAGAAGTCTGACTTCCCTGTGTAAAAGATTGTTTTAACATTAAAAATTCACTTTTAGGGTTCACACAAGTTTAAATTCCCAAAGCATATAAACATATTTTTTTCTAATTGTGTTCTTTGTAGAAACTATAGTCTACAATAAATTAGTGAAGAATTATTTAACATAAGGAAGGGGACTGTAGGTGTGTATGGGTCTGCAAATTATCACTTCAGATTGGATTGAGATCTTTAGTTATCAGCTGAGAGGTAGCTCTAGAAAGTTTATCAGAAATTAAATACTTAGAGAATGCTGTGAATACTTTTTAAAAAGTTAAGATGAACATGAATATTGCCAGATTACCTAAATTAATCACAAAGTGGATCGTATTGAAAAGTTGCTGCTAGGCAAGAGAAGTATAGTAATGAAAGTTGGCCATTGTGACTATCGTGTGCTATTTGTTCTTTGTCAGTTACGTAGTTTTCAAGCCTTTCAAATTGTTTTATTCTACATGTCTTGTGATATGTGGTCAGACAGGATTTCAAAATGATAGCTACTCTGTATTGAACACTTATCGTGGGTGAAAGACTATATTCATTAATTTCTGTTCGGTCTTTAAAGCATTTGTGATGATTATTTGTAGACCTTTTAAACTTCTCTTAAATGCTTTCATGTTGACAATGTTTAGACCTCCGCTTCAGTTCTAGCAGAAGAGTTACATAAAGTGTAAGCCTGCCTTTCCAACTCCTCTTGCAATTGTGTAGTCATAACTAACTAATACTTCTTAAAGACCTATAAAGGATGAACTTCATACTCCTTGCTTTTTGGAAAATACTGCAAACTCTATTTGGAGCAACTTTTACTCTTTTTCTTTGTCTTGTGTGTTGGGTCCCTAAACGTTACATTTTCTGTTTTTATGTCTTCATCATAAAATGAGTGGGTGGAGCTTTTCACTTAGGGTGTTAGAGGTTATGTAGAAAAAGTGATTGTTTTGAGAGTATTGAAACAAATTAATTTTTGTGTCTAATGTGGTAGCTACTCTATCTAGGTATGAGGTAATATACTCAAAGTTCTGTGTTTTGATTTGCATAATTTTCCATAGATACGGGTTATTTGAGTTCAGAAGACCAGAAACATTTGCAGACTTGCGAACATTAACAGATTAATTTATTTGGGTGTGAGTTTTAACATTAGGGATATTACATGTTAAGGAGTTACGGTAATTATAAGAGTCACTAGTAAGCTGAAGAGAGACTAGAAAGGGAAGGTATTATAAGAGAAACTACTTACAGATGGCCCTATTTAAGGTTTTTAATCCTTGACTTGTAATGTGACTTAGAAATTTTCATTAAATATACACAATTATTTCCTTTTAAAGGATTGCAGAAAAAGATAAGCAGATAAAACAAACTGAAGATTCCCTAGCAAGTGAACATGATCATCTGACTAGTAAAGAGGAGGAACTTAAGGTCAGTAATTCTTAAAAATGGCTGTAGTGTTTTGTAGGGCTCAATATTGAATTACCAGGATCCCTATAACCAGTAAGACTTCATATGAAGAATTGAAAATGCTTTAGAACTCATTGGAAAAGTGCCTTTCTCTTTTCTAGACTATAAAATCCTCTTTAGCTCTGTAAGAGGAAAAAAAATCAATGGGCTTTTCTCACATGCTGTTAATCCCATTTGAGATTTATGAGAAATATGCTGAATATCAGGAAATATTGCTAAATTGACCGTTTCTCTTACTGATTGAGTGAATTTGTAATTTGAGACCTTGGTTTAACTTTTATTTTTTCCTCATTGAGTTTATTGGTCCATTTTAGGTACACAGTACAGTTATATTCATTATTGGGATCCTGTACCTTCACATGACAGGTCTTGGTTCTCTTTTCCCCTTGTCCCTTCACTCCCTCCTTCCTCCCCCTTTACAAACACTTCATTTCCATTTTGTCATTTTCTCATATTTTTTTCTTTTCCCTTATTTGCTTTCCCCTACCCTTCTGGTTTAACTTTTAATGTAGAATAGATGCCTTTATAAACTTTAAGGTCAATTCTATTAAATATTCTAATATAGAACTCTTTTATTGGTCTAGGATATGCAGAATATGAATTTATTATTAAAAGCTGAAATGCAGAAATTACAGACTCTGGCAAATGAGCAGGTAGATCTTTATTGCCTATTTTTTGTATTTACTTAAGAATTTTACTTTGTATATTCTCATTTTTATTAATATAATGAGCCCCAGTTGTATTCATGTAAATTATATACTTGTTCTTGGCTGATGTGTTGAAAACCTCTTTTACAACCTACTTAGATCATTACTATTTCATGTTGAGATTGTTTTATCTGATGAACTGGTTATTTCAGAAAAGTCAGTGAAAACAATTCTTTCATATGCTGGTCTTTTGCCATTTCACCTGAAAAGCACAGACTTTTTATTAGGATCAGCGTTGATATGTTAGAAGTAAAACATCCTGGACAGCAAAACATTACAGATATAAATAACTGCTATAACCTTACTTGAAGTATTAAGGTAAGTTTAAGTGCTTCTAAGAAATGATAAATTTTCATTTTATTCAAAACACAGGCTGCTGCAGCACATGAATTGGAGAAAATACAAAAAAGGTGAGTGAAATATTGTTGTAAATAGGCATTCATAAATTATATTCAAATATAATTGCTGTAGAAAATACTGTTACTTACAGTTGATGGTTATACACATGACTTTAACTGAATATAAAAACTATTTGTAATTGGTGCTTTTTTCTCATAGTATTCTTGTTAAGGGTGATAAAATAAGATTGCTTGAAGATAAGTTACAATGTGAAATTTCAAACAAAATGGAGGAATTTAGGGTATGTGATTAAGCTTGTACATTCAGCTTTCTTTGAATTAGCTTGTATAATTTTCAGTTGCAGTGAATGTAGAAATACTATTTTGTGTATGAAATCACCTTGAAGCAGTGTTTCTGTAGTTTACTTGGGTGCTTATGCAAATAGTGAATTTGGTTGTAGACTCTTTGTGTGCATTCTGACTTATCTGGATCTTCTAATAAACTTTTGAGATTTAGTTTGCCCTTATTTTCTTTCTTTTTTGTTTTTGTTTCCTCATTGAGGTTATCGGTACATTCTAGGTATGCAGTACAGTTACATTGATCACTGGGGTCTTGTACCTTTACATGACGGGTCTCGGCTCTCATTTTTCCCCATAGCCCTCCTCTCTCTATCCCCCTTCATCCTCCCCTATTTATAAATTCTTTGTTTCCACTTTTTACTTTTCTCATACTTTCTCTTGTCCCTTCCTTATTTCCCCTACACTTTTAGCCTTTTTCTTCCTATGTCACAATGTCAGTTATACAATTTGGATCTTATGTACACTTTTAATTTTTCACACCAGAGAAACTAGAGTGTTTGCCCCTAATCGCTTCTCGGCCTTTTGGCTAAGATCAAGTGGAGTGTTTGCCCCTATTTTCATTGGTAGTTCTCAGCTGGTGTTTATATTTGTGACTGTTGTTATCTGTCTCCACTATTGCCATAGTGCTAGTCTGTGGTCATGGCCAACCCACTTGGTGTACCTGACTGCCGGAACATCACCTGTGTCTAAAAACATGTGAATTCTTGGGCCAGGGATTTAGCTCAGTGGCACTGTGCCTTCCCGGCAAGTGCAAGGTCCTGAGTTTGATCCCCTGTATGGTAAAAAAAAAAAAAAAGTGAATTCTTCTTATGTGAGTATATGATTCACCTGTTAGTCTATGAATACTTAAGATAATATGAGTTTGATTTAAAAATTCCAATTATTGTTTTATTACCGTTTTTCTGTAAAAAATCATAATAAATTAAAATTCTTTTCTTCCAGATTCTTAATGATTGAAACAAAGCATTAAAGTTAGAAGTTCAAAGACTGCAGACTCTTATTTCTGAACAGGTAAGATTTTTCACGAATCATAAAGTAGAAATAGCCAATATATAATAAGATCTGGTTCTTAATTTGAAACCAATTCATTAATGGAGAAGTTTTGCTTAAGCACAGCTGTGTCTTTTAATTGCATTCCTCTTCACCTTGTACTTATCAAGATTCTAAATAAAAACTTTTCTTCCTTGAGATTAAGTGAATGCTAATCTGCTTATAAGAACTTTGCAAAAAAAATAGGGTTGACAAATTTGTCTCATGCTTTTGGAGCCTCAGCTGTTTCTTCTAGGCTTCATGACTTCTTAAAAACAGAATGGGTTTGAAACATATTACCAGAAGTTATTAGCAAAGTGATACTGATTAAAAGCTTAATATTCTAATACCTTTCATTCTAAGTTTTGTACACCAAGATTATACTTACACAGTCATACCCTGCACCTTTAAAACTCATCACGTTTGGTACATGATGCAGTTTGACTGAAAGATTTTGTCCCAGTTCTTATTTGTTTGGTATTCTATGTGCAACCTAGAACTTGTTGGTGCTGATTGCCTCTTGACTTGCTATGCTTTCCAGCCAAAACTGTTTGGTACCTGGATTTGGTACTCATTGCACCTCCCTTCACCAATAAATGACAAGTGCCAAGTTAACACTGTATTGTAAATTCATTAGATTTAAATGGGAAATGCTGGAGATTTAGCTCAGCGGTTCGGTGGCCTGCCTTGCAAGCGCCAGGACCGGAGTTCAGTCCCCGGTACCAAAAAAATTTCCATCTATGAACCAAGAAATGCATCTTCCCCAGACACTGAGTCTGCCAGTGTGTCAGCCTTGGACTTCTCAGCCTCCAGGACTGTGAGCAATAAGTTTCTGCTGTCTATAAGCTACCCAGGCTAAGCTGGGCACGGTGGTACGCACCTCTAACCCCAGCCCTCAGGAAGATGAGGCATGAGGATTACTGTGAGTTTCATAGTCAGTTCAAGGCCAGCCTGAACTGCAAAGTCTCAAAACTTTGTCTCAAAAAAACTAGATAAAATAAAAATAGGCTACCCAGTCTATATTTGTTGTATAGCAGGGTAAATGGACTAATAACAATCTCTCTGTTCATCTTCTGGCTAGTTCTTTCATACATTATCGATATTAGGATACTGACATCTATAATTATATATTTTGAATTGCCCATTTCTTCTTTCAGTTCTGCCAGTGACACACATTTCAGAAGTCTCATCTTCCATCTTTGAAGAGTATGAGTTTTTATTTTCTATAAAACCTAATAAATATTATACTATTATATAAAGTCTAATCTGTCATTTTATGGTTTATGGTTTTTGCAACTGATCTGAGACATTCTACATTAAATTCAAAGTAAAGTACACATGGGATGAATATAAAATAAAATTCTCTATCCTTTTTGCAAGGTTCTGAATAAGGACCGAATAACATTGCAGAATCACAGGGTCATGACAGGAGAGGGGAGCCAAAACCTTGTTTGGGACTCACTTCTGCCACGTCACCATTGAATATATCTGAGTCTCTGTATCTCCAACTGCAAGCTAAAATGAATTTTATCCATTCATTTCTTGCTACAAAATATCCCCCAAATTTAGCAGTTTTAAATAATAATCAGTTGAGTCTATATTGAGGGAAACACTACAAGGGGGACGATTTGTGAAAACATAAGGGATTATTACAATACTGGTACTCCACACTCCAACTACAGCCTACTAACTACTAAAAGGAGCAAAGTAATGCGTACAGCACTCAAACAGCATGATTCTGAACAGCTGATTCCCCACTAATGTCTAACCATCAGTGCTCATGTGCACGCCCAGATGAAAGTCCAACCAGAGAAAGAACAGAACATAAATCCCCTTACCCTGCTCCTGGTGAGGAATCTGTGGCAGCCTCATCCTCTCTTAGGGAAAAAAGGAGGACAAACAGGTCAGAGGAAAGATGACTTATAAGGAACAGAGGTGAGGAAAAATGTAGCTCATTAATTCCTTCCCCCCAAAGAGCTCTTATGCCTCCCAGGTCTTGCTGAACAACTCCTATCTAGTTCAAGGATGACCCAGATTCTACTCTGGCCCTGCCACTAACTTCTGCGTTACCTTGGACAAAATAACTTCATTTTCCTGACTTTAATTTTCTTATTTGAGCCAGGTATGGTGGTGCACACCTATAACCCCAGCACTCTGGGAGTCTGAGACAGGAAGATTGAAAATTGAAGCCCAGCCTGGACAACTTAGCAAGACCCTATATAAAAACAAAAAATTAAAAGTGGGCTGGGGTGTAGCTCAGTGCAAAGACCTTAGGTTCAATCCCTAGTGTGACACACACAAAATCCTTATTTGTAAAATGAAAGCATTTAACCAGGTCTCTATGATTTCTTCAGATTTGGGAATTTTATGACCCCAAGGTAACTTATTAGTAAAATAGTTGTTCATGCACAGTCCTAATACTTATCTCTATTTAGTGTACTTTTTTACATATATATATTTAGTTTACTTAATTTCAATGTGTCTACAAGTATCAACAGAACTAGTACCTTATAGTAATGACCAAACACATACATACAAAAAATTCTAAAGAATGAAATTTTTAAATAAGCAATATTTTAAACATCTTAATTAAAATTTCTCATATGTAGTTATCAGTATCTCCAGCCACAATAAACTTTTATATATACTTTTTAAATTAAAACAGTGAATGTAAATTGATTTTTTAGATATTCTTAATGAAGCTTCTATGTATTGGTTTTTGTTCAATTTGTGGATTCTGTTCTTTCATCCTTTTTTCTTTTTAATGCTATCTGTCCAGCCACTGTCTTGTTCATGTGTCCCTGCCATATTATTTAGCTGATAATATTCTCCCATAGCTAAGGCACAAAAGTCACAGAGCTGAAAGCCAATCTGATAGGCAAAGGTATTACATTAAATAGACAGGTACAGAAAAAATTTATACTGCAGGCCTAAGCTGCTGTCCTCAAAAGAACCTGTCTGCAAGGCTGGTCTCTGACTGGCATCTGAGAGCACAGATTTTAGGCTTTACCACAACTCGCTCAGGAAAGCAGCCTATTGTGCCTAAATTGTTTGTACAGAGAGTCATGCTCGTGCTGAACACCTGCCTTCCTTCCGGGAGCCTGAAATTTGGATATGTTCTAGACAGAGTGCTGATTGACAGTGTCCAGTAAAAATTCTGAGCTGAGTTTCTGGTGGGCTTCTCTGGTTGGTACCATCTCACCCGTTATCACAGAATGAAGATGGGGACGCTAAGGGGGTCCCGTGTGACTCCACTGGGAGAGGACTCTTAGGCCCACGCTCTGTTTCTGCGGGATTTGGGCCTATGTGCATTTTCTCTGTGCTGATTTTGCTGTGTTCTTTCTCTATAATGAGTCATCATCATGAGCAACCCGTGGTGAGGCCCATGAGTTGTCCTAGAAAATCCTTTGGGGGTGACTCTGGGGACCTTGCAATACCGCCTGCTAACACTCCTCTGAAACGAACTGACCCCAAACAGCAGACCTCCCCCATGGAGGTTTGGGGAAGGAAATTGCCTTTGTCAACTTTGTTTCTTTATGAAAAGAAAATAAACCCACCTGAAATAAATTAAGAACATGGCAAGAAATACACCGCCACTCTTCAAAGGGGAAATAAAATTTGTGGCATTGGTCCATGCAGATTTTGTTTTCCATGGGCTTACTCTGTACACAGAGGATGCACTCAATAAATGTTTATAATATGAAAAGTACAAATTCTGCAAATGTAAAACGAAAACAATCCTTTCCCAAATTTTCTCCATCCTTTTGCAAACATTTAAGTAAAATATCTCTGATATTACCATTAGGGAAATGGAGTGGTTTTTAAATTATATCTTCAACTACCTCTGACAAATTAAGTGCATTTCCGTACAAACTTGCTCTGATGTTGTCTAAGAATAAACATTTTTCACTCATTAAGAAGAACTCATAAACAATATACTCTCTTGTGAAATTACTTTGAATTCACTCACTTTTTTTGTTTGTGTTGAACTAATTTTTAAACTAGTTCAATCATGTTACCTATGTTTTCACTACTCTGTTGAAACAAGCATGAGGCAATCCACACAAAACTCAACAGACCTCAAGGGAATTATGCTAAATTTTTTCAAAAGTCAAGCTCAAAAGGTTACAACTGTTAGGATTCCATTTATACAGCATTCTTGAAATACCAAAATTATAGAGATGGAAAACAGATTAGTGGTTTGCTAGGATTAAATGGGGGTTGTGGGTGGATGTAAAAATGAAAATAAGCAGAATATGATTATTAATCAAGAATGTAAAAAAGGTGAAATCCTATATATATCATTTATCTTTAAAATATTTATCATTATACTCTAGATCTTTTTAATTTTCAAGCACATACAGTTTTCACCTTGGTGGTGACCTTGCTGAGAAACATAATATCTTTAATACATGAGTTAAATCTAAGATGATGTTCAAATTAACTGCAGGCAACTGTTTATGGCAATAATAAATAGAGTAGATTACTTTTAAAACCCATATTTTGGACTTTTTATTACAGATGCAATTGCTGCCTTACCATCAATCAACGTGCTTAAAGTGCCATATGATGTCAAATGTTTAGCTCAACAGCATAAAATTGAGCAGAAACTGTAAAACATGTTTTATAGGTGCTATAAAACCCTGGGGCTGGAGGTCCTGCTTTTTTGCATTACTCTGCTCCATCAAGTCCGCTGGAAATTCTAGAAAGCCAATACACTTGGGAATCAAAAATTGGCTTTCAGTTTTATTCACTTCAGTTATGACTTCCAGGGACAGCAGCCGCTGTCTCCTAACATGAAACAAGCACAAGCAGAGGAGACTACAAATTAACACCCTTTATGCTCTTAATAGCCCTCTTCCGTTTATACTCGCCCTACTGCTCATGGCCACCCCTCCGCCCAAGCCCTGGTGAATCTCTTCAGCATCTGGAAATGGCGAATGCATCCAGAGACAGCATATCCATTGCTTGTCTTAATGCTGGTTTTCTACGAACGGTGGACATTTGTTCCATGGGCAAATTGAGCTACCGCTTTGCTGCGTTCAGCACTGACCTGTGGTTCAGCAATGAGCGAGACAGCATGGAGGCGGGGAGATGTGAGCATGGAGAGATGCAGCTGTCTGGGAGGGTGCTCTAGAGCACAAAGGTAATCAGACAGGGTGGTGAGAGAGGGTGAGAGAAAGGGAAGAGTCAAAATGGAGAGCTTGGCACCCAGGCAGTGGTGCTAACTGAGATGGAATAAGAATGGAGCTGGAAACAGGATAGTGCGGAAGGGAAATACACTCGAGAAACCTGTGTATTGCCCAAGTGGAAATTCCCAGGAGCAACTGGTAACATGAACCTGGAGCACTAGACCAGAAGCAAAAAAGGGAGTTAGCTGAGGTCAACACTACTGATTTCCTCCTATGAACCATACTATGCCAAATGCAGCTTGCTCACCGACACAGCCATCTCATACCATTGAGGGTTAATATATCACATGTTCATATTCCCAGACTCCTTTGCAGCTAGGACATATGACATTACTTTGAGTAATGGCCCCATATAAATATGATAAGGAGCTTTATGAAATGCTTTTCCTCCTGATTAAAAACTATGAGAGAAGAAACTGCTCTTTTTGTTGCCCTTGGGCATAACTGTAAGAAGTGTGATGCCTGAAGTTAGGGCCACCTTGCCAACACAAGAAACAAGGCTTTGGATAAATCCAATATAACAAGACTTGGAATAAGAGTTTGAATCTTGGATATTATTGCTGAATATTTCACCAGTCCTAGAACAGCCCTGTCTCTAGTCTCTTGTAATGTTGCATTATTTAAGCCATTTTTAGACAAATTTCCTTTTACAGGTATCTGAAAATATCCTAGATAATAAATACATCCATGAGGAAATGAGTGGATGATAAAATAAAATTTTAAGCCAATAAGCTCCTTTTGTGCTTATATGCATCAGTCCTTGAAATGACCCAATGAAACTAAAGGGGAAAATATTAAAAGGAATAAAAAAGAGAAGCGGCAATGCAAACCTCTTAGAGATGTGATCCAAGAGATTAAGTATAACTAACTAGAGGGGGCCGAGGATGTAGCTCAGTGGTGCCAACGCCTGCCTCACAAGTGCAAGGTCCCGAGTTTGATCCCTGGTACCAGATAATAACCATGATCATAATGAATAAATAAATAAATATGACTTAGAGAGGTAGAAATGACAAAAAGGATTTATTCTCAAGAAAGACCAGTGGAGGAATAGCAAAGATGTCAAAGCGTATGGAGGAGATATTCCAGAGAACATTCAGGTATAGTTAGGGAACTGGCCATATTAGGTTTAGAAACAGACAGCAACCTTGTTTTAAAACCATAAGGAAAGGGCAGGGGATTTAGCTCAGTGGTTCTGCCACCTGTCTGGCAAGCGCAAGGTCCTGAGTTTGATCCCTGGTACCAAAAAATAAAATCATAAGGAAAGCCAGAAAGAGGGATGATGATAGCTAAGGTTTATAGATAGTAATCCATTTCTCTTACTAAACCATCCAGGGTACTACAAGAAATTAAGCAACTAAATAGTGCTGCTTAATTTGTACTTCAAAGTATTGATGGCATGACTACTTCTCAAAGAATAGAAACATGTTAAAATTGGTAAACCTCGCTCCATTTGGAGCCAAGGAACTTCCACTGTAATTAGAATGTGTAATCTCATTTCTGTCTTCTGTGTTTGTTTCCACTTATTCTCCCTACTGTTATAACTGTGTATTGTACAGACCCCTTCAGAGAATTACCTGATTGAACTCTTACTCCACCCAGCCCCATCATTTCTAAGTTTAAGCTATTTGCTGCCCACTGGAGTACCTGCGGAGGCTGCTCCTTTTCTTCAGTCTGTGGAACCCACAGATAAAGGTAATGCCTGAGTCTATACAAAGCCAGAATAAGCACTGAATAGGTGGAGGCAGATAATAAAGAAGGCTATTGGCAAGTTAAGGCGTAAAACAGAAGGATCAAAAAAGAAGAAAAAAAAAGGAGGATCAAAATTGAGAAACAAGTTATAGAAAGTAGATATAAACCTATGTACATCAGTAATTAGTATACGTTGGCCACATACGCAAAGTACCAAGTTAAGAGTGTAATCCTGAATAAAAACGTGACACATACAGTATATGTATTTTAAATGTGGGAAGACCGAAAACAAGAGTGAGGATGAACAATTGCTATGAAAATATTCATCACAAGAAAATCTGTGTGGCTATTTTAATATCAGGCAATATAAGGTAAGAAGCATTATCAGCCATGGAGGGGGGCAATTTAGAGAGATCGGGGGCTCAATCCAACAGAAAGCTCCCAGTCACAGTCCCATATTCTTACCCACCCAGTCATATAGCTTCAAAATACAAATAGTTTCACTGGCAGACCTGTAGTCCACTGAGAGAAATTCACTCCCAGGTCTAATTCTGAGCTCATTATCACAAAGCACCTGACACCTCCATCCTATTTGGCCATGAAGTTGTCTCTGGGACTCGGGCAGGGGCAGCAGCTTGACAGTGAGCTACATTCACCTCATTAGATCTCTTGCTCAGAGAGACTTCTAGAAAATTCCTCTGGGCACTTTACTTAAACCACTATGTGTTTAGTGTGACTGGTGCAATACACACACTTCTCTAAATGAATTCTGATTGGCATCAGCAAGTCACCCAGGGCCTATCCCAAGGTTGAGCTCCTGGTCCTGTTAAAAGAAGACATAGTCAGGTAGCAGCACCTTAGTACCTGGCCACTTAGGAATCCTTGTCCAAAGTTTAGAAGAGCAAAGTGTTCCAGATTATGCTCCTAAGGATTGTAACTATGCAGATAATTTTTTGAGACACTGGGATTAAACTCAGAATCTTCTTACTGGGATACATCCTTGGCCTTTTAAATTTTTTTTTATTATTATTATTTTGAGACAAAGTCTTGCTAAGTTACTAAGTTACCTGGGGTGGGCTTGAATTTTTAACCCTCCTGCCTCAGCCTCCCAGAGTGTGCATACCGCCATGCCCAACTCCTAGAGGATTTTAAAATGCTGATTTCTTCCCATCAGGGAACATATGACTTAGTTCCACTGTGCCATCAGTAATTTTTGCTCCAAGAGCCACTGTTTCAGGAAGATCATGAACTCTCTCCACTGGGGTGGGGGAGACTCCCACACATGAATAGCAATGCTGTATTCTGAGAAAAGACACACTGATATTGGGAGTTGAAATATGATTTGTTTCTTTGCTGATTACAGGAGGAAATATTGTTACAGCCCATATTGGTATATGTTTGGATGTCTCAACTCAGACAATAAAAGCCAAGGATTTTGGTCATTTGGGAAAAAATAATTTGTATGATTAATGCCAATATTTCATGGGTGATCTAGTAAGTGAAAAAGAGAAACAGATACATCAGAAAAATAGAAGAGATGTCCTATCATCATGTCTCATGGTTAGTAAGGAGAACTTTCAACAAACTACATAACTGGGTCACATGCCACATAATTTTCTTTGAATCAAGGAAAACATTTTCCTGTGATATGAAATGAAGTTATTTGTAAATACAAGAAGTAATATTTATAAATATGAGTTTTCTCTTCAGAGTGTCAATGTTGGCAGCTCATTTCATATTTTCAGTGCCTAGAGGGTAATAGGAGTTCTGATTTACAACCCTCTCATGGTGTAAGAGCAAGAATGTGGATGTTAAAAACCACACTCTGAGCTGGGCATGGTGGCACAAGTCTGTAATCCCAGCACTCGGTCGGAAGGCTGAGGCAGGAGGATCACTGTGTGTTGGAGACCAGCCTGGGCTACATAGTGAGTTTCAGATCAGTCTCAACTACATAGTGAGATCCTGTCTCAAAAAAACAAAACAAACAAACAAACCATACTCTGGGGAACAAGAGATTTAGCCCAGTGGTTCCGCCGCCTGCCTTGCAAGCACAAGGACCCGAGTTTGATCCCCGGTACCAAAAAAAACAAAAACCATACTCCGCCTGAATCCAAGGAACAGATGCAATACCTCCCCTTGAGAAAGAGGGTGATAATAACCAGTGGATAATAGAGGACAAACAAGACAAAGACACAAATAGCTTTTCCTGGTGCTTGTAAGCGTTAATGTCAAGGAACACAGCATTGCTTTTGTTACAGCTGGCATTCAGTCATTCCCTTACTAGGTGCAAAGCATGGCTTTACCTGCTTATTTCAGTCCACTGAATTCAGGAAAAGTGGATTGACTTTACCTAGCATTGATGCAGAGAGCTGATGCAGAGTCTGGGGTTGCAGTATTACTGCTCAGGAAGTTGGAAAGGGAGAAGAGATTGGCAAAGTAACAACAAATGGTGGTTTCAACTGTTCCATTGTTAAGCTCCCAAGTAACTCAGGCTTTCACTTCCACTTTGTAAGACTGGCCTCTATACGGGTAGTGAAGGAATACATGGGTTTGTAGTATGAGAAGCTGAAAACCTGCTCCGGTGCACACAAAATCACCTCCCCCAGGCCCACTGCCAACCCGTAAAAATAACACATACCGAATCAGAACTGTACCACAGTCGCCTTGAATGCACCCTGAAAAGATCAGTGGTTCCCAAGCCAAGAAAACTTGAATGCGTCAAACCTCTAGAGACAACGTGTCACCCAGGAGAAGAGTTGGCCAGTCACAGAAACATGAGGAAAGGGAGAAGGAAGGTAACAGGGACTTGTATAGAAAGTAAACACAGAACAACGTTCAGAAAATAGGGAGAATGTCTTCGGCCTCAGCAGATGTTTCTCTCCTGGGGAGCTGCTCAGTGAGCAACCAGCACGGCCTCCACTGGCCACTCACGGGGAAGGTTGTTATATGTGCTAAGAGGACCTAATGAGTGCTAGACAATTCATGCATTCGTTCCTTCAGCAGATGTTCAGGAGGTCTCTCTAGATGTGGATTCAGAGATCCAAGCTGCTTTCCCTCTCCCGAGAGGTTCAGCTCAGTACCAGCGATGGGACGATAGGCAGAATGCTAGTTGGGAATAAGCCCAAAGAGAAAGATGCTCACAGGACCCTGTGGGACTCCCGAGGAGGACGTCCTGTGCAGAAGGTGGAGGTGAGGGGATACATGAGGGGCAACCGAGGGCAGGAACACAGAGAGGAGTCTCAGAAACAGCTTTTACAGGGAATGTGCGACTCACGGTCCAGAAATAACCGAGTCGGATGGGAAGCACCCTGAGGGTGAGCAGTCTCAGGGCCCGGCACTGCAGTCATTTCTACCTCTAACCCTCTTAAATAAAAAGAACAGCTCAGAACCATCCCAGAGCTTACTCCCCTGTCCTCCTGCTCCAGCCCTTGGGCTATCCTCTCTCTCCTTGCTTCCCGGACTTGGGCATTTAGCACTGGATCGACCCCTGCCCCCAGGAAGAAATCCCCATATGTGCCCTTCCTTAGTCCTCTGGAGGTGCCCTTAGAATCCAGCCACTCCTCTCCCCGAGCTCCCTGTTCTGCCATTCCGTGGGGATCCCTAAAATCTGTCTTCAGCTTTCAGAGCGTAAACCCAGCAGCTCTCTTGCTGAAGGTAGGGCTGGGGCAGGGGAGCAACAACGAGAACACTGTTGTTAATAAACGTAGGAGATATTTGTTATCTGTATTTATTTTGCCCACTTTCTTATGCAATGACCAAGTGGCCTCGTGAAAGAGAACACTGCATAGAGAGGGACTGAAGAAAGCCAAAAATAACTGATGCCAATCTTTGTGATTTGAAAAGCAAAAAAATAAGGTTTGGGGCACAAGGACGAAGAGAGCAAGAACCACAGATCACCTAGGAGATGAGAGGAATGACCAACACCTCCCCCATCGTGATCATGAACACCACCAGGAGGCCCCCAGCTGGCTGCTTTTTTCTGGAGCTTTGCCCTGAGCTGTGTGGGCTTCCCAGTGGATATTTTGGTGCCTTGGACTCAACCTCACAGATCCACTGGGGATGTCTTTAGCTGTGAGCAACAAAAATACGACTAACACTGCCTTTGAAGCTAGAGGTTTGTTTCTCTTGTGGAACTAGAAGACTAGATAATGGGTAGTTACTTGGAAAACATGCATTAATCCCAGGATCCAGTTCCTGAGATGATCCTCAGACATCTGTAATTCTGGCCGCTCCTTCAGTGATCCTGATTTGCAACCAGAGAGGGAGCCGCTGCTCCTGAGGTCACTGAGCTTGATGTGTTCTCCTTCTGTGAGTCTACAGAGTTCACCAGTGAACACCTGCTTCATTAATTCATGTAAAGAATTCGCAAATATAATTGTTCACTGTATGCATGACAGACACAGCTCATTAGGGTGATGAACTGGGCCTAGAAACTAAGATTCAGCAGCGTTCTCAAAATGGATGGAATTCCCATCAAATCTGATTCAAGTACTTTTATTCCACTGGAGAAAGATGGAGAGAGCATCCAAGCAAACATGGCGGAAGGACTCTCGCACGTCTCCTTTCCTTTCCCCAAACTCACTTCACTAGAGAGATGTTGTCACAGGCAAAACAAGTAAATAAAACAAAACAGAACCTCGAGGTAAAAGAGCAATGACAGTGCAGAGATATAAAGAAAATATTGGAAAGTGGAAAGCAGGTGTCGGGCCGGGTGATGCAGAGACGAGGCACATGGTAGGAGAGGAGGCAGAGAGCTCACAGGTTGGCCCCACCGGACCACTGACAGCAGTGCAGGATCGGAGACACCAGGACCACCTAGGGAAGTGGGGTGCTGATCAAGCTGAACGGAACATGGGTTGATCCTAGACCATTTCACACTCCACCAACCAGGTACCTCCAACAGAAAACATACCGGGGAATCCAAGGGACCCAGCTGAGACCCCTGGGGAAGCAAGCTAGATGTTCTTTCTCTAGCGAAACAACTCCACAAAGAACTGAGTTATAATGACTGCTGGGAATTATAATCAAACATGGAAATTCAGAGGAAACACAAAAATGGCATAAAGACTAGAATATACTTTCAGGAAAACAACAGTACGTCAGAGAAAGAATACAACTACACCCATGAAAAAGAATAGGCTATTTATAGAACAAGAATGGGTCTTCATTTTTTAAAATGTAAAAATAGAAGGGAAAAATCCAATAGAAGCCCAGCACACTGTATTGGAGAGGTGCTAGAGAAGTTACTGCACCATCTGAGCAGCCAAAAGCAGGAAAAAAAAGAGAATACGGGTTTCAGGAAATAGGGATCCAACTAAGAAATGGGGAAACAGTGGGCTTCAAATGGAATGTGTTAAAAAATGTAAAAAATCAGTAGATTACCTGATGTATTTAAACCCTGAAGAGAGTAACCTCTGGCAACAAGTTGGAAAAGAATTGTAGGTATAAATCAAAATAGAATACTTGAACTCCATAGGAAAAAAGTTGTGTGACAAGAGGCAATATTATCAGTGTACTGTGTGCCTTATCTGGGAAAAATATTTACAATAATCACCACAGTATTAACTTAGAGTATTGATTTACCCCCCAAAAGGTATAATTACACCGGAAGAATGGGACAGAACAAAAATGCGAAATCCTTACCTTTCTGAGGAGGAAGTCAAGATCTTATATTAAATCTGAAGAGTCAACACAAAAGCATATTATTTGGCCACATGGGGTGAACGGCCAGAAACAGCGGCTGAGCTGACTGAAAGTGAGTTTCATTTCTCTGATGACGGCTGGGTGGGAAATGGTCATCTCTCAGACCACAGAATTTTTCCAGTCAAGAAACCCCAGATGCTCCTAATTCTTTTCCTCCAGTTCAGCAGGTTCAGCCAAAGTTCTCTCCCGAGGGTCACTAAGCGTAAGCTCTAGGGAAATGCACAAGCAGGCACAATAAACTTCGTGTGAGCTTTATTTCATCTTTTTCCTTCTAAGCCAAAAGTGTCATCACAACCACGAAGGAGACAGAGCAGACACGGACAAATGGGGCTATTAAGGCAGAGGGTCTACTCCCTGAGCATCTTTGGGATGCTTTTCTTACCAGAAGTGGGTGACTTCTCTACTGACCTAATATACCGCACACTCCCTGCAGATCTGAGCAAATGAAAGAGTGAATCAATGAACAACAAATCCATTGTTTTTTACACACTATGAATGCTTAGCACATGTTAGAAACTACAATATTTGTCTTTGGCCCTTCTTTCTGATTCATTTAGAGATTTGGTGGTCTACTACTATATAACTACATATTTTGTCATGTTTTTTTGTTTTTTTGTTTTTTTTTTTTTTTTGAGACAGGATTTTGCTGCTATGCAGTTCAGATTGGCCTTGAACTCACTATGGCCCAGGCTGGGCTTGAACTCATAGTGATCCTCCTGCCTCAGCCTCCTGAGGGCTGGGATTACGGGTGTGCGCCTCCATCCCCAGTGTACATCTTGTTATATATGAAATGGGCATTTCTAATTTTCAAGGAACACTGCAAGTTCCCCAGTCCCCATCAGAGCAACTCTCCACTTGGTTATAGAGACATCTATGGTGTGGTTTCAGGGTATTCCCCAAACATTTCCCCACCACTTCTGGAAATCTGTCTCGGGGAACTCAGAGCTGGGCCTTGCTTGGTCCTTGTGAGGCTCCAACAGACATTCACTGGAGTCTATACTCCTGACAAGGGTGCTTGAGATCTGTTAGTCCAATCCTATTGCTTAGCCTTTCTTCCTATGATGGAGCCAATGTTAAGGTTTTCTAGGTTGAGAGCAAAATTAGCTTACTTTTAACCTTCTTTTGAGTGAATTAAATAATTCCAATTCTTTCAGTGAACATTCATAGAGTTCAGGATCGACTCTCGCTGTCCTAACCTCAAGGTACTCAGCATTTGGATAAGATTCACTTTTTTAAGTTTTTATTTTCATGAGTACGTATTTCCAGTCCATAATGACTTCACTCATCTCAGGGAGCTGGCACATGTTAATTATCTTATTTTTACACTGCCTTCTCTCTCACACTCTTCCTTCCTCCTAGTTTCTTTCTGAGTCTGGCTCTTACCTCTGCCAGGAGCATCACTTTAGAAAGGACGTCCATGAGTCCCACGGAAGATCCCCTAGAAAGAGCTGAGCAGCCCACAGAGGACCCACTGGGGAGGTAGAGAGGTAGCACAGGAGGAACCTGACTGCCTATGTGATATGAAGAGCAGATCAGAAAGCAGTAACCAGGGCCAGGGACTTAGCTCAGTGGTGCCACCGTCTGCCTCGCAAGTGCAAGGA